ATATATAAAACTTTACTTATGGCCTGATCTCTACTATATATTATAAATGTGTAGAAGACCATGAAAACATACCAAAATAATAACTGCTTTCTCTGGGTTATGGGAATAAAGGTTTTTTGTTGTTGTTTTATTTTTTTAAATAAAAGTTAATAGCGTAAATGTAATGAAAGATAATACTGTTCTTTTCTTAAATACCCAGAGATATTAGTATAATTAAAATCCATTCTACTGACTCTCTCCTTGCACAGTTATTGAGTCCACCAAAGGATATAAGAGCATGACCACATGGTGGAAGTACAGCTGGGGAAAGGCAGTCTTTGCAAATGGTGCTGAAGGTATTGGGCATCCAGAGACAAAACATAAATACATAATCTTGACCCACACTGTGCGCGTCATATAAAAATGCATAACCTTGGCCCACACTGTACACTTCATATAAAAATCAATATATAACCTTGACTTACCATGTATATTTCATATAATAATTAATACATAATGTTGACTTATACTGTACACATCATATAAAAATACATAACCTTGACTTACCCTATATACTTCATATATAACAATTAATACATAACCTTGACCTATACTTTACACTTTATAAAAAAAAATACATAACCTTGACCTACCCTGTATACTTCATATAACAATTAATTCATAACCTTGACCTACCTTGTATACTTCACATAACAATTAATACATAACCTTGACCCATATACATCATACAAAAATAAATACGTAGGGGGGGTTATAAAGGCACAAAGTGACTGGCTTACAAGTTTTCAAAAGGGAGCTTGGTTTCAGAGGGTGAAGAGGAAGGTAGAATCTCCACTGAATGACTTTCAACCTGTCTAGACTGGGTTGGTGAAAGGAGATGGGGATAAGACTCTTGTGGATCAATAGTAAATAACTGCTATCAGAACTGATTGCAATTGTTGCAACTGTAAAGGTAGACGTTTTGTAGCAAAAAGAGGGGAGTGATCGTGAATAATTGTTATCAGGACTGATTGTGAGGGTCGGAAAGGTAAAGGTAAATGTTTTATAGCAAGGAGGGGAGTGATTAACTTTTCAGTCTAGGAGTGGAGGTCCCTAGGACCTTTAAGGGAGAAGAGCAGAGAGCGGGACCCTACCCAGAGAAGAAGTGATGCCTGAAATGCAGCCAGAGATGATGACGTGGA